TTCTCAGCTGAAGAAACAAAATGAGCACTCTCTCTTTTGTTAGAATTCATCTTTTCCTCCTCATCAACACAATGAGAAATGAGCTCGTTAAGAGTCCATTAGAGTCCATTTTATTCGCTGACAATATATAGAAGTCTAATTGGTCCATATGAGGAAGGAAGAGAATTTGCATACATAGTGGAGTATAAAAGAGTCATCTGGTAAATGCATTTACTGGGCAGCGCTACCGCGCTTTCAGTCTCTTGCAAATCTGAGACAATATGCTAAGTAAAATCCCGAACACCACCATTGCAGCGAAAACTCATGGGAGTGGTTAATTTTCCTAAATGAGGGTTCCCACCTTCGCTTTGTCATTCGTGTTCGGCTTTGTCATTCTTGACATAAGCCCTCTCCAGCTCGGCAAGATAGTTTTGAGCATTGTTCTTTTCAGCTGAGACAGAGTCTCGAACATGTTCTGGTACTCCTTTCTGCATGATCATCAGACCTAAGCGATTAGAACGCTCCCGCTTCTCATACTGAACCCTTTGAACATCAGTGCTCGTAGCAGTAAGAGGAGCAGGTTCGTCCATCCTCAATGCAAGATCCAAATCCATACAGCCCACAAAAATCATAATGTCTGATTTCCAAGACTCAAAATTTGATCCCTCAAGTTTAGGGACACAATCAGGATTAAATGACATGTTAGCTGACAGCAGAGAAAATAAACGAATAGATAAGTATAAGCTCACAATTCACAAATGAAACAATTCACATAAGTAGAGATCAAAAATGGAAATAAGATACAGACACAACATTAATATTCTCATATTCTCATCTTTGGATGTAAAATATTCACTTGTAATTAGTATCTCAACGCAGCAATCAAATATTGATAACATAGTCCTGACAAATAATAAATCTTCCTTTGGACCGATATATCATTGTCATGGAAAATAATCAAACAATTATCACATACTTATTGCTCAAACAATATTCAACAATATTTAATTGCCAAAACATGGTATTCAAATCAAGCCCAGATAGAGAGGTAACCTGCCTTTGGGCCGATTAAAGCTAATGCTCGCAACGGAATTCTAATACAGTTGCCTGTCTGAATGGAATTCTAAAACTAAATCAATTTCAAGCAATAGAAGGTCAACTTTTGTGCTTAGTTGATTCCAGATCAAATGTAATGTTAAGAAATATAGAACAGCAAAGTGAAGACCTAATACACTCCAGAATTTTAATCTCAAGTCGAATCACAAATCTAAATCATTTTAATTGTATTAACAAAAGAACAATTGCATAGCTTTAAAGTGAATTTGACTGTCTAAATATTTAATAATCAAAAATGTATGTTAGTCAGGGACTTTTTTACTATAAACTAGTCGTCTAAGTTAATAAAGAGGACTAAATAAAATTTTGAATAAATAAGTTTGAGAGGTCCTTAAACGAAAGAAAACAGAAATTTTAAGCTAATACGAAAACAGAAAGAATAGGGGCCTAATCTGAAGTATGGACAGGTTTTAGGGACCTAATCTCTGAAAGTTACAGAAAATTGTAGGGTAGCCTAACTGAAGTTACAGAAAATTAAAGAACTATATATGTGTGAAGTTACAGAAAGATTAAGGACGAATAGTGAAAGTTAAACAGAAAATTAGGACTAATCCGAAAAAAACATAAAATAGGGATCTAATATTGACATTTCCAGAGGAAGTAACTGTTAATTGTTTCCATCCTAAGACATTAAAAAACAAAACGATACGGGAACGGGGAAAATAACATGTTCCAAACCGAATAGAGCCTCAGCCGCAACAGGATGGAAGGTTTTTTTTTTTTTTTTTTTTTTTTTTTTTTAACAAAACCCTAATCTATCAAACAGTAGGGTAAAAATAATACAAAAAAAAATACCGAAAAAAACCAATCTAAAACTAGCAATTAATGCACAAGCTTCTGATACATTGTTAAGATTATTCTCAAAAGATTCAATAATAACCTATAGCGTCGCAAAGACCACTAGAGCTTCAGACAAAAATAGATGAATAAAAAAGGGTTGCTTACCTGACATCGTTGTTTCGTGCGATACTTGATGTATAGGAAATTTAGGGTTTGCAGAATGCTCCCAGAGAATAAGAATCGATGTTAGCGGGAATGCATACGACAAGAGACGTAAAACTGCATCGTATTCCACTCGGTCCGTCTGGGGACCACGACGTTTAAATATAGCCTGTAGGGTTAGTACAAATTCCTCTGTCGGTCCTTTACCGAAATAGGAATTATATAAAGTCTCGCTAACATTAATAATTGATAAAGTTAGTTTGAATACCCAATAGTCAATTATTCAACGATAATTAGTTGATACCTCAATAGTCAATTATTCACAATCAAGACCACATTTGAAATTGACTTTACAATTGGACTGCTGTACATATTTAATTTTACGTATTAAGCCCACAATAGAAAATTAAATCCAACACATCCCTCTTAAGAGAGTTAGTGTCCTCGCTAAGGTTTGCCCTACTGTCGAACAGAGGAGCAAGAGCTACTCTAATACCAGTTATAATAGCTCAACCCACTACGATATTATCCACTCTAGATCAAGCTTAATTCCATCTCATCCTCAACAGGATCAGCATGGTCTTGTTTTAAGTAAAGCCTTACTACTTTCGTCAAAAAGCTTCACAATAGTCTAAGGTTTGTTCAAGTTTGTATCCACCTTATTACTCTTATACTTATTCGTTCTGTAATTTGCCTAGGGTGTTAGACAACTTTACTCACGTCAAAAGATTTCCTTCAACAAGCTTTATAGTTAGCAAATCCTCTTCTCTTTCCTTAACTCTTTAAGAAATCTATTAAAACATGATCGAATATATAAATTCACCCATAAGCTTTATAATTTTAACCTTGGAGCATCATAAACTTTGTCGATAACTTATCATGCATTTGAATTTATAAATTTTGATAATATTACACATCTTGCAACACTGATATCAATAATTTTTATGATTTTTGATTTTTATCTGCAAAATATCGACTTGATATGTAGTTAGCATAACTTTTGAAATAATAACTTTCATAAAAATCAACTTTTTAATTAGTGTTTAATTGATCTAATTTTGCAAGTTAAAGTGTTCAATAAAATAATTTTGAAAATTAAAGTGTTTAATAGATTTAATTTTATAATAATTGATCTAATTTTGCAAGTTAAAGTGTTCAATAAAATAATTTTGAAAATTAAAGTGTTTAATAGATTTAATTTTATAAGTTAAAGTGTTTGATGAGTAAAAGTAAAAGCTGAAGGTGTCACAAGGTTAAAATAAGAAAGTTCAGGGATGAACTTATGTATTTTGCCATTAAAATATTATCATAATTTATAATTTGTGACTTCATTTAGGTTTTATATGCTAGAAGTCACATTCTCCATTGAAAAAAGTCAAGCATAGCATGAAGGAAAGAAGTGATTGTCAAGTTCTATTTTAGTGTTTGGTTACTGAGAAAGGAATGGAAAGTGAAGTAAGTTTGGAAAAAAACCTCTGCTTGTTCACTCTTTGATTTTGGCGTGTACGTGATGACTGATGGGAGATTATACAAGAAGAGATTATTTGTTCATTAAGATTAAATGAAGCGAAATTTTAATCCTTTGGTGAACTTTTAACATGCCAAGTGTCACCATAGGACTCACCAATCACTTTGTTTCTTCTTAATCCTTCATCTACCATTTAATTTAATTTTTAACCCAATTCACTCCGCTGTTTAAAATCTTAAGGTTTCATAATAATTTTTTTTTTTTTAATTTCTAAAAGTTTCATATTGTTTAACTTCCAATTCAACTAACTCTCGATCACCTTAAAATTATGCATAATTGGAGATATTTGGAGCAAAAGGACTTGCAAAAGAGGAGGAAGCTTCAAGCTTTTGCAAACCCAATGGTTTATATAAAGCTTCAGGTAAGATGGAGCACTGTAGAGAGCGACGGAGATGGGTATGAATAGTTAAAGAGAAAAGGAAGAGTAACTGAGCAAGAGAGAAAAGAGTAAGAGCATTGCAAATGCAAGAGAATGGGATCAGGTGTCGTTTTTGAAGCCTAGCTTTGATTGAGTTGACCCACACTCAGTTATAGGGTCTGCTATTATAATTTTTTAGCTGCATCTAATCCTCAATTTATAGATTAGGTTGCCTATATCACATTAGACGAAATAGAAAAGCAATTGCAAATGGTCGGGGGAGTACAAAGTATTATATATTAGAGACTCAACACATAAATTCACTTTTGAAATTTTATGTCACTCTTAAGTATTCCTTTGAAATATAAAATACTTCAACTTATAAAATTAAATCTACTAAACAGTTCAATTTTTAAAATTATTTTATTGAACACTTCAAGTAGCAAAATTAGATCAATTAAATAATCATTAAAAAGTTGAAAATTATGAAAGTTATTGTTGTAAAAGTCATGCAAACTATATATCAAATCGATATCTTATATATAAAAGTCAAAACCCTAAAAATATAGATATTAATGACGAAAGGTATGTAATATTAACAAAATTTATAAATTCAAAAATGAAATTACAAAATTCATGATTATGTATTCAGCCATTTATAAGATGATGATGATGATTAAGTCACTTTTTCTTCAAATCACTCAAATTATTCGAGAAGGTGTTTTAACTGATTGAATTTGACAAATTCATTTGCATTATAGGCTATCAAAAGTTTTAAGTGATGAAGATTCCATTTGGTTCATGAAACAGTACGAAATAGAGACAAAATAGAATCACTATTTATAACTTTGATTCAAATTTAAAAGTAAAACAATAACTATTTCTTGAAACAACAAAATATGTAATCTTAAGTCTTAATTGAATTTCTAACTACCTATTAATTTATCATATCTAAGAAGTTTTTTAAAATTTATGAAATACAAATTTTAACATGAGTAAAAAATAAGTTCTACATTTCAGGAAATGGCGATTCTGTTACTTCTGATTCCATTCGACCATCCAATCGAAAGCCTGAAAAGTCTAATTGCTAAATATATAATGCTAAATGAAAGCCAAAACGATACACAGAGAAGGTTAGGTTTGAAGTTCAGTCGAACCTCTTTCAAATTGACAGCTTTGCCTCATCAGTCATATTTCTTTAGTCAGCAAGAGGTACAAGACAAAAGTCGTATGATGAATTACCCAAATCTATTCTCTCTCTTTCTAGCTGAACGAATAAAGTCATTCTCTTCATCATAAGATATACAACCAGAACAAGTCTCATCAAATACAACATTAATATTAAGCCTAAACAATAATTGATCTTAAAAACAGAAGCAGGACAAAACTAGAAACAAAGGTTTTTCCGCGCGAGAACCCACAACATGAGTCTGCAAAATCCAGAGCAATGAGCCGCCAGAAACCATAGAAATGTATTTTCATATTTTTCTGAATGGAATTCCTATTTTTCAAATCTGCATAGAAAGCCTGTCAAGACAACAAATGATTAGATAAGATAATGCAGTATAAATTTTAAAGCAATATCAAAAACATTAATGTAATTTCTCAAACCGTAATTAATAGGATAACTCGTCACATGATATTTCTGTGTTCATACTGAAATAACTTTGATTCCAAAATCTCATGAAATGGATTTTGTAGCTAATGTATATTTATTAGCAAGCTGTCAGTTCGAAAAAAAAAGCACATATTGTAGCAGAAAAATAAATGTGAAATCGGTTTCAACACTCAACAGATATGCTATATTACCAATGTTTTTAAAGCCTTACAGCCAGACAGCCTAAGCAACTTCATAAAGCACACAAGAAACAATATAGATATGAATTGTTCTCAGGTTTGTATGTAAAACTTTATATTTTTAAGCATAGTACAATTGGGGTATTAGAGAATCTTTACCTAGTACTTGAGTTCAAATCTCATGCATTGTCATTCCTGTAATCATATTTTAGTATATGAGCCAGAAGCTTTTAAGTGTAGGAGTATTAGAAGTTTAGAACATAAAATTCAACTTTTTAGCCTTTAGACATGAAAAACTTTCAGCTACATAGAAGCATTTATTCTGAGTTCTGAGCCATGAACTTCAGCTATTAGATTGACTGGTTCATCAATTAGTTTTTTCATTTCAAAAACTTTTGTCTCTGTTGACAATCCCACATTGATTAAATACCCAACCCACAAAAGGCATATAAGGTTGGCAAGCTAGCTAGCTAATTGGTTGCTACTAACCTTTTAGCATTGGTTAGCCCAAATCCAAATAAGCCCACATATGCATTTTCACCTTATGGGTTCTCACATTTTACCCAATTCACCTTTACCCTTTCATTTGTAATCTAGTATCAGTGCACCCAATTCACCTTTACCCTTTCATTTGTAATCTAGTTACTAACCTTTTAGCATTGGTTAGCCCAAATCCAAATAAGCCCACATATGCATTTTCACCTTATGGGTTCTCACATTTTACCCAATTCACCTTTACCCTTTCATTTGTAATCTAGTATCAGTGCACCCAATTCACCTTTACCCTTTCATTTGTAATCTAGTATCAGAGCAGGTCCAGCCCGGTTCAGTTATTCTTCAGTTCACCGGTATTGCCGTTGCGTTTCAATTTAGGCTCTCGTCTGTATGTCCAGATATGGCGAGGCCCATTCAATTTTAAGGGCAAAAAGCCCAATTCAATTTCAGACGGAGAATTTCAATTTCAAATGTCAAGTGTCAACCAGAAGTCAAGTTCCAGTTGCACTTGCGGAGGAGTGTCAAGAAAGTCCTAGTTGCACTTGAGGAGTGTCAAGAATCCCACATCGATTAAATACTCAATCCACAAAGTGCATATAAGGGTAGTAACTAGCTAATTGGTTAATACTAACCTTTTAGCATTGGTCAGCTCAAAACCAAGTAAGCCCACATATACATTTTCACATCATGGATTTTAACATCTTACCCAAAATTCACCTCTACCATTTCATTTGTAATAGTCTCAACTTTGACTATAAAGCCGTCTTTGAAGGGGTATTGGTTCTATAAGTGTTATCTTCTTTGTCTCGGCTCCGGCAACCAATAAGAAAGGTTTAATCCAGCTAGACATTGTAATAATGATTTCAACAAGACAAAATAGTTGCAAGATCTGAAATTTCCAGTATAGATCTTATTAAAGAAGGAAGGTCAAAGTTATGAAAAAAGGGGGGGGGGGGGGGGGGGCTGATTTGTGTTAATTCCAAGCCCATAGAAAAGAATTTAGAAGACAAAGAAAGAGACAACGCAGACATGCAAATAAAATTACCAAAAATTACAGCATGCACCAATATTCAAGTACCAAAAAATCAAATGGGCTGATTGTGTAATCCAAGCCATGAGAAAAGAATTTAGAAGACAAAGAAAGAGACAACGCAGACATGCAAATAAAATTACAAAATACAGCATGCACCAATATTCAAGTACCAAAAATCAAATATCCCACCAGAAACTAGTGTAAGGTTCTGGGCTAAAGTTCCTCACTTTGCATGCTTCATCTCCATACACCCATACACATGTTTACATCAGTTCCTTTTTGTTCTCCTTATAATTCCCATTTATTTTTGCAGGGGTGGGCATGCTCCAAAAATGAATCCAACTGAAAACTGATCCATTCAGGGAAGCCAGATACCTGAGAAGGTCTACAATTAACCATTTTTATGATATCTTCTCACCTAGGCCAAAGATTGTATATCCATTCCAAATTGCATAGAATAGATTTGCTAGTATAAACCAAGGATGATAATTAATGATTGATCTAGCAATATGAGTTCCAGCAATACCCTAGAATCAAATCTCACATCAAGGCAATCAATACTTATCAAGCAACTATTATCTTTCCTACGTACATTGTTAATTTATAGCCATGTAAAAGCGATCGCACTAGGAAATGCACAAGTGAATTAGGAATATTGGTGTATTATCCATAGTTTTGAGTATTTTGACTAGCATAAACTCCAATAATTACAACAATCTTAACAAATTTGCTCAAATGCCAATTCTCCATTTTAAAAAGAAATAAAACTCAACACCACATGACTCACAAAAAGAATCAGTTGTGACTAAATTGATTTCTTGGAACAAGTTATGGATTCACACCAATATCTAAGCAGTCACGTAGAAGAACTTTAATCTAAACCTTAATGCATGATGACATCTTAAAACTACCAAAACTTTTTTAACACCATCAAACTGAATGGTGTAGTGATTTTTCACTCAAAGATACAGCTTGCATAATTTTTTTCCCCCCTCTTAAACAAGTATTTTTGTTGGAACATTGGTACATAACTAATGGAACAGATGATAGTTGTTAAAACCGTGCAATATTTGATTCAAAACATAAAGATCGAATGCAATTCAAGCATCAAATGATTTGAATTGCATAAGAAACTGAAATTTTTCAGAAGCATAGGTGAATTGCATGATTCAGAAAATTATTAATTACCAAAAATTCAAAACTAAAGCAAGTATATAATCTATTAGTCCTTTTGTCCCTATTTTATAATTCCCACTCTTTTCTCAATTCTCTCTTTCTCTCCCCCATATTCCCATGTCCTCCAAATATCATTTTTTACTCTTCTTCTTGCTCGTCTCCCTCCCTTTTTATCCTGCTTCTTTCCCCCTCTTCCTAGTCTTCTTTTATTTCTCCATAAAAGGGGCCACCAGAGCTAATACTAAATGAATATGAAGCTTAGTAGTTGTCTACTTACAAATTAATTTTCTCTAATTTCCTTGGAAGTTTGTGGATAAATATTTTGAAAAAGAATATGCCATAGGTCACGCAAACTAACTTCTGATAGATGAAACAATATCAGTGAATCCATACAAAATGTGTTCTGCATAAAATCTGATGGTGTAGACTGATACTAAAATACAAGATGATTTTGGACCATCTTTTACTGTTTCTCACCATTTTGTTTGACCAAACAAAATTACTTTTCATAATCCATACTTATCTATGCTTTCTACAAGCAAAACATGGATAATCAACCATAGCACTTCTCCATGTGATGGAATGAATAAATATAGACACTTTGAAGGAGACTACTACAATTTCATGTTGACAGCCATGACAACATGAAAGTTCCCATGTACAGCCATTAATCACCATGAATGGGGAAAGTTCCCATCTACAACATCACATGATAAACGTTTCTACAAGAAGAATATAAAGAACAACAACTATGCCTTAATTACTTCCAAAAGTTTCCTTTACTTCCAAAAGTTTCCTCACGCATTTGAGCAAATCCAACTCGAACAATGTTGAAGTAGAACAATGTTTGATCTCATTCATATATTTATTTAGTATTTAACGGCAATTAAAATTAGAAGTGCATTGAATCAATCCCAATCAAATGTCACAGCAAAGAATCATACCTTATTGTTTTCTATGTAATAACAGAACCATTCTCTATGTTTGCTTCCAAATTCCAGCCTCTGAATATATTGAATCTAGTTAGCTATTTAACTAGTAATTGCTTGTAACAGAAACCAACCAGATAGAAAAGTTATATTACCTTTCTGCAGCTTCTTTCTTCAATTCTTCGATCTGCATTTCTATTTTGGTACACGCCGCTTGGATTTCTATATTTTTCTGACAAAGCTCCTTCCATTGCATGGACAAAGCACTCATCTCGTATGCAGTATTTTGCTGGTTATTCAAATAATGAAAAAAAATTATGAGGCCATCAGTAAAGTATGTAAAGAGAATAGGAGAAGGAAAGCTAAAAATCTGCATCACCTGATGATATTTCCTTTCACGATTCACGGCTTCAATTTTTTCATTTTGTTCCCGAGCTAACTTTTGCATTCTGAAAAAGCAACCAAAATCTTTCAAGCTCAACTTATTGACAAAACTCAGGAGAAAAACCCCAAAGCACATATACATAGTTAATGAAATAACTAAAGTGATTAAGAGAGAGAAAGTAGCAATAACCAAACATAGATTCTATTTTGGTTGTTGTTATCCAACTCTAAATATATTATATCTTCAAAAATGGGTTGATGAAACAACTTAAAAACGAGTTTTTCTTGGTTTTCCTTTTGTATTGACAACCTATTTTTCTACTTCAACACATCAAATAACAAAAACAAATATATTTCAGTGATATGATTTTCTTTGACTATTGGAAAGCAAAAACCAAAAGCTAAAAACAAATTGAAACAAAACAGTCCCACTTTTGGCTCATTTTCTCTAGATGGTTCTTGAGTACAACTCAGACCAATTACTACATGGTAAAGTTATATGACAACACAAAGGTGCCTAGCACAGCCCAACTGTACCATTACTGAAGTTGCTGAAATCAGAGGCTATATAAATCACATGGACAAACAAGTGCCTGAGGAACATTAGAGACTGTTTTTGCAATGGGAAAATAGTATTCATGCCTTACAAGCTAGGAAATCAGTTTTCAAATGTTTTAACATTGCTGTTTCATCTAGTTACATGAATAAAAGTATTACAATGACTTAGGCTTTGTTTCTTTGAGCTGAATGGCAGCTTATTATCCCCTTAACTTATTCATTCAGAACAAAAAATAAAATAAGCTTATTTGTTTTTTCTTTTTAAATAAGCTGCTCATCTGATTACAAAAAACAAAAATGTCAGATTCAAAAAGCTAGTATTTTCTAGCTAATTTGCTCATCTACTTAGCTTATTAGACCAAAAGACAGAAATGATGACCTCTAATATTAAAATCATCAACTGATACCTTCGGCCCTAAAATCACTCTTGAATCTCATTTTCCCTATCTATAATCATTCACCATCTTTCCAGCCATCTTCAGTCATCCTGCCATATCAAACTTGCTGTCGATGATGCCACCATCAAGCCTTGCCATCAGTAAAACCAACAACAAGACGTGCCGTTGATAAGCCTTGCTGTTTTTTTATGTTGTTAATTGTGAATTGGGAGTTTTTGCTTATGGGTTTGAAGCATTTTGAAGGGAATCGATTGTGACTTTGAATGGAAGATCATAAAACTTTCATATAATTCTTTAACTTCTTTTGATTTTGAAGGGAATAGATTGTGAAACACTTTTTGGAAGCAAACTATGAGGTATACATTATATTTTTTCCACACAGAGATAAGGAGATAGGAAATGGAGGCAGTGGTTGTGGTGCAATTGGAAACTGTGATAGGTGATAAGTTGATAGAGTTTTGGGTGCTAGGTATTGGTGATAAGGAGAAAAAATATCACGATAATCATATATATTTTATAAATAATATATATTATGCATCATTACAATTATATTATGTTTATAGTTGAATATTAAGGTAAACTTCTATGTTTGGCATAATATTGTATATAATATGATACATCAATTATATTATTAACTATTAGAAGGGTAAATATGTAAAAATGGACTTATCCAGATGATTCAGACATCTCAATTATCAAACAATCTTAATCGTTCAGCAATAAGCTTTTCATACCACTTTAATCATTCAGTTCAATAAGTTGTTAATTCAGATTTAGCATCCAGAATTCAACCTAAACAAACGAATCCTTGACGTTATGGAGCTGTATTTAGAGTAATTTTAGCCCTTGTTCGGCAACAGCTTTTGGGCTAGCTTTTAGTGTTTTGACCAAGTCAAAACTCTATTTTTATTAATTATAGCATAGCAATTAAAGTTTGAAAGAGCTTTTTATAAAACGTCAAATACTCTAACTTTTAGTGTTTAGCTTTTAATTAAATTTTTTTGACAATTATACCCATTGTTTTTTCCTCTGAATTCAGCTAATTAAACAACTATTGTCCTTTTTTGTCATTTTAACTTAAACAGCTATTTTTACCAAACACTTCTAATTTGAACTGCTATATAAACAGCTACCAAAACAATTAAAAGTTACTAAAATAGCTAATATTGTCAAACAAACCCTTACTATTGTATTTAAGGTAGTTTTATTTAATTATTCAGGTTTTACCTTGTTATCATCAATTTCATTGTTAATGGGTATTACTGGGGCGGTTAAGCAAGTTATTTATTCTAATGGGTAGTTATTAGTGAGTAGTTATTAGTGAGTAGTTATTGTAGTGGATAGTAGGTAGTTTTAGCTTTACATTTAGTTGTTTAAAAGGCTGTGATATCAGGAAAAGTGTAAGCAGAATTTTAAGAAAAGGTTTTGAGTTCCTAAAACTCAGAGATTGTAGAGTTCTCTCTTAACGAGCTCTAAGAGATTGCAGATTCTCTCTAAGTCTATTACCATATGTAGAAGGAAGAAAACTCCTTCTACGACACCCTATCTCAAACCTAATCCCCTAATTCAAACATAACTAGATCCAAACTTGGGACCATAACATTTGGTATCAGAGCCAAAAGTTATGGGCAACTCTATTCAACAGCAACTTGATAAAATTCTGACATTATTCCTAGAGGAACAAGCTGCCAACAAAGTCCAACATGAAGTACTAAAATCTAAATTAGATGCCCTCACCCGTGTTTTTTTCTGATTCAAAACAAACATCAACAATGGAAGGGAGCAATCATAGTCAAGCACCAAAAGCAAAATATCCAGTAGGTTCAGCTGATCTAGAATCTCCTAGGGGCAGTACCATTGTTTCAAAATTCACAAAATTGGATTTTCTCAAGCAACCTATAAGGAGTAATAATTTAGGAAAGTTGGCAAAATTGAAGGAGTCTAGTACTGTCACAAAGCCAATAGTTTTTCAGCAACCATTTTAAGTCTTAAATAGTTGTGTCTAGAAGACAGCAAAGCAAAAGAAAAAAAATAATCAAACAACAGCAATTGTTAGCACAACTAGAGGGCCCGCTTGTGATTTGGCAGCCTCTAGATGAGAAGGGATTGGGGAGAAGCAATTCGAGAATCCCGTAGAGGACACATTCGAGGAGCCATTTGATCCAGGAATTTTAATTAAATATGGAAGCACAATAAACAGCTCTTTATTTGCAGCAATAATAGTGGGTGATAAGGATTTTATTTGCATCACATTTTACGAGTTGAAGCTTGCATTTCATCCATCTTTTGCAATTGAGGACAAGTGCCTTTTCATTGTTAGTGGGTAATAGTGGGGTGGTGAAGCAAGTTATTAACTGTAGTGTGTAGTTATTAGTGTGTAGTTAGTATGGTGCATAGTGGATAGTTTTAGCTTTGCATTTAGTTGTTTAAAAGGTTGTGATATCAGGAAAAATGTAAGCAGAATTTAAGAAAAGGTTTTGAGTTCCTAAAACTCAGAGATAGTATAGTTCTCTCTTCACGAGCTCTAAGAGATTGCAGATTCTCTCTTGTAAGTGATGTAGTTATTAGTTTTGTAGTTAGTATGGTGCATAGTGGATAGTTTTAAGCTTTGCATTTAGTTGTTTTTAAAAGGTGTGATATTCAGAAAAATGTAAGGCAAAACATTAAGAAAAGGTTTGAGTTCCTAGTTTTAGCTTTGCATTTAGTTGTTTAAAAGGTTGTGATATCAGGAAAAATGTAAGCAAAACATTAAGAAAAGGTTTTGAGTTCCTAAAACTCAGAGATAGTATAGTTCTCTCTTCACGAGCTCTAAGAGATTGCAGATTCTCTCTAAGTTTGTTACCATAAGAAGAAGGAAGAAAAATCCTTCTACAACACCTTATCTCAAACTTGATCCCCTAATTCAAAGACCCATAACTAGATCCAAATTTGGGATCGTAATACTTAACTACACTTATTTGGCAAAAGCTACTAGACATAGTGAAGACTATTGCAAAACTATCTTTACAAATACCCTCCAAAATGGTCATATAGAACACTAATTCTGAATATATTCCCTCTCCCTCTTTGGTAATGTGCTTGAACATAATATTGATGCTCATTATTACCTTTCTCTAACTATGAATTGAGGGTTCATTTTACACAATTTAGCATTACAATTATAAGAGGGGAAAATTACAGTATAGTCTCTGTAATTTGCGAAATACAATAAGTTCGTCACTGTGTTTTTAAAAATATACTAATTATTTCCTATGTTTTGCTTCCGTTATACTACTAAGTCTTTACATCCAATTTTTATATCTTTTTCGTTAAGTCAACAAGAAAAAAAGAGGTCAAAGCAGAAATATTAAAATTTTAATATCGGAAAAATTACAACACAATCCATATGATTTGAGAAATACAACTAGCCCGTCCTTGTTTTTTAAAAAAATATACCAAAAGTGAGAAGAGATAAAATGGATATTTTCATCATTTCATAAGGCATTAACAGAAAATATATAAGAATTGGACGAAAGGACCTAGTTGTAGAACGGAACCAAAACATAGGAAAAATTAGTCTATTTTCAAAAGCAGAAGGACGAACTAGTTGTGTTTCCAAAACCATAGGGACTGGACTGTAAGTTTCCCTTGTCAGAGTTAAAAGAAACAGATATCCTACATTAGAATGGAGGCTAGAGTGATGATGTAAGGATTCAATTGATTGTCCTGTGCTTTTAGAGCTATGCTAATGTTAGGATTATATTATATAAATCATATGGATATTTGTGAAACTAATAACATAACATCTCAATAGTCATTAACAATCTGGACTTAACAATTACTATCAACATTAAACCCAAAATGGGATTGTACTATTAAAAACAGTAGTTCTGACTTGCTATTTTTGGTATTCCTTAGAAACATTTTACCATTTCAGAAAGAAAAATAACCAAGGAGCCTATGTTATGAGATCCAAGCCTCAATGAAAGTATCTCATTTTCCTGTGGCCTAAAGTCAACCTATGCATTACATTTAGTGAGGCAATACATGATCCTAAATTCCAAATAGACTAGATAAGGATGGTCGAAGCAAATTTGTACAAATAAAAATTGCCCCAAATAAAACATTAAACATGATCGTGCAAATAACATGTGTTTCAGCCTAATCACTATTTTCAAAGTCTAAAACAATATGTAACAACAAATAATAAAATATATATAACTAAAAGAAACAGAGGGAAAGAAACAAAAGTTTTTCTTTCTAAAGAGCTTATACATCAAAAGGAAATTTTCAAATGTACCTGGATAACATTGCTTCCAATTGCTGATTGTGTTGTATCCACACATTTGGACCATATTTTGATATCAGGTCCAAATTTTCCAGCCTGCAAATAAGTCAATAAATTCATCAGAAATGCAAGGATATTGATATTATCAAATCTATGCATTAAGCAATAATTTGGATGGTTAGAAATTGGATTATACTTTGTGATATCATCTAGGCAAAGATTAATGTAACTCAGGAAAATCAAAAACTGTATGGTAACGGTAAAGCCTTAATGAGCAGCTCACCCTAACAATATAGCCTATCAAACGTCTCCAAAAGGTATGAGAAAACCTATTTAGCAAGCTCTCTATCCTTATAACTAAATAACAATTGGCTGTTTCTTAATTATATCCACTTCCAATTGACAATTTATCATTCCTTAAATTTCCCAATTCTCGAAAGCAATTTGTAGCAACATAAAAAGCACCTGATCACTTGATGTTGCAACAAGCATTCTGCTTTCTGAAGTGCTTGCTTCCAAGCAGTTTCTTCATTCATCTTATTGGCGGGTGGCAAATCCAAGTGAGAATATCTAGAAAAATCAAGAGTACTTGGAGGCTTTCCAGCTCTAACACGCTCATACTCTTTAGCAAGCATTGGATAATTCTGTAATTGAAATCCAACAAGCATTAAATTGATAAACTAAAAATACCGCGAAAACCCTAAAAATCCAAGAACTCGTCAAAAAGTTAACCTCGAAACTGAACTTTTGGAGAGGAGGCAAGTCCTTCAAAAAATCAGCAGGTTTCTTGTGGCTTCTACGCATCTCTTCCTCAACTAGCCGATCAACCTCTGCCTTGACGGATGGATGTCCATAATCGTCGTCGATGTAAGGCAATGCATCGACGATTTCTGCATTGAAAGAGTTCGACCATGGCCGCGAGGGTTCCGGCGGTGCCTCCAGCATAAGGATATCGCTGCTGTTGCCGGTTGTAGTCATTGTTAATTGATTGCTCTGTTACAGTTGCTAGCAGCAGAACGTTGTTGGCTAGGGATAAAAATAATAAACGAAAAAAAAAAAAAAAAAAAAAAAAAAAAAAAAAAAAAAAAAAAAAAAACTTGGTCAATTTGTTTCAGTGGTAGTACAAGGCTACTAGCTGATAATAGAAAAAAAAAAAAAAAAAAAAAAACTATGGTCAATTTGTTTCAGTGGTTAGTACAAGGCTACTAGCTGATAATAGTAGCGGGCTAGCTGAATGTTGGTGTCTTTTTTAATTGAAGATGAATATATTTGTTTTATTTTAATGTTTACATAAATAAAAACATTAATTAAAATTTTAAAATAATATTTAATACAAATAAATTAAATGATGATAAAAAATATTAATTTAAAAAAAAAATAATTTTATTAATAATTATTTTTACGAGGTTAATAAACTCTAAATATAAAATAAATAATCCCTTATTAACTAAATATCTAAAATTTAATTATTGGAGCTATAAGCTAACACTAATTCTTTAGTGTTTATTTAAGGGGTTCTTTAGTGTTAATTTGAGGGGTATACAATAACGGTGAGGTTTTTGAGTGGACATAAGTGAAGAGAAAATTGTGATATTTGTATACATTATTCTATTTTCACTTTTCATGGGAATTTCATAATTTCGAGTCCAATCCCAAAATATCCAGATATAAGAAATAATGTCTCAATCCCGTCCTAATATATATGCTGTCTTATCTCAACTTATCCCATTTTTTGGGACTGAAACAAAGATGAGAATTCAAGTTTATAGGACATGACGGAATGGTTCAGACTGAAACGAGATGAGAATTCAGGTCTGTAGAACATGACGAAATGGATCAAGTGGAAATCAATCAAGATTGATCACAATTTTATTGAATTATATTTTCATAAAAAATTATTTTATTCATCAATTACAACCAAACAAAATTAGTTTATGCAAATTTGAGTTAAAAAAAAAACCATAATTAACTCGATCATTGATGATCCACTCCTAAAGTCATAATAGAAAATTTGTTAGTAGTTACTTTCTTTTTTTCTTTTTTTTTTTTTTAGGCTAAATCTTTGTGTACAATCGTCACTTTCTAGTTAATAAGAGCATGAAATATAATAAAATAAAATAATGCAAAAACTATATACAATTTGGCTTTTTTTCATGCATCTTATGAATTTTTTATCACTATTGTTTTATTATTATTGACTAAGCTGATTTAAATTTTATACTTGATTTAATCTTGCATATCATATGAAAAATAAATATAACCAATAATTCAGTAATCAGATTAACTATTGTTAACGTTTTTTTATTATATTGATTAACCTTTCTATTTTTTTTTAATAGAAAACATTTATTCAAAAAGATTTACTTTTAACACATAAGGTGTACAATAGAATAACAAAGAAAAATCTATATTGAAAAATATATTTAATTAATTGATTCATTCTATATCTTGAAATTGCATATTGTTTTTCCTTTATATTTTTTCAATACGGTAGATTTTAATTAAAGAATTAGTCTAAAGAAATTAATCTCGTCCCACAATTACTTTCAGGATGAAACAAGTACATACCCCTACTATCTGTGAGAGTAGACAATTTGTCGAACCATATTAAAGATCTTCTATGCCCTATTATTTTCTCAGTAGTATCTATTCATTTTATCTTATTGAATCTACTGGGTTTGGCATAACACTCTTTAGACTCAATATATGGGGGTCATCCACACAGCTTAATATACATGCATGAGAACAAAGACGAGGCAGTTTAAAGAAGCTCCAATCAGTCATGGATGCTTCAGTACAGTAGATAGCTATCACAAAGAAAACAAATAAAAATGGCAAACAAAACACTCAAAGATAACTCTTTATTCTGTTATTGATTCAAAAGTTAATATTTTCGATGATGCAAGTGCCTATAAATCAACCAAGCACTACTATTTAGTAAAGAATTACAACTTAATGAAACCTTTTTTTTACTAGTTTTATCTAGTTGAAATTTGTGAACCCAAACCTAGTACCATACACATTCTTTACATTGGTGACCATGTATGAGAATCATCAAAATGAAAATGTCTATGATAAAATCCATGCTCACTAATCTATGAAGTTGGCATATTCGCATAAAGGAGAGTAAAGAAAAATTCAACTTCTGATAAACTCCCAATGATTTGGATAAACCGATTTTGACTTGATTCATCGAACAGAATTGGACCCATTCGTGCAACTCGTGGCAAAAGAAGCGCCAGGGGCATCTCTGACACTATACTGTCTCCAGAGGACTCCGCCAGCAACGTGTCCACTATTACCTTCAATGATATTTCCAAAACCCTACCAAATTCAGCACTGCAAGGAGAGAAAATGGCATTTCTATTTTAATTAAATGGGTACAATGTAAAATTTTTTTTTTTTAAGTGATGTTCACCAGTTCAGCTTTTAACCATTTAAAAAAAAAAAAAAAAAAAAGGAATTTTATTTTTTTTTTAAGATGGCATGTTCACCACGCGTCAGCTTTAGACCATTTAAAAAAAATTTAAAAAAAAAAAAAAAAAAAAGGGCAATAATTTCAAAGCATTTACTGAAAACGTTTTGAGGAATGATGACATCAGAACTCTTTTAAGTTTTGAGGGAATAGGCAGCAAGAAAGCACAGGGAATTCCTTAGATAACAATTTTGCAAAATAACAAGCATAAATCCATTAAATATCCATAAGAGTCACTGGAGAAAAAGAAAGCCTTTTTTCCTTTTTTGTTAATAAAATAAGTTCATAAATAGTACAGTGCTTATTTGCGGTCCTTTTTCCCTGATTATCACAACAAACTGGACAAAGGGGTCAGCTGGCTTGATGTCAGCTATTGAGAGATGAAACCAATGCCTGAGCCCTTCTAGACTAGCACTTCATGCAATGGATCCATATTTCTAATGTTATTTAAGCTTTCAAAGAGACATTTGCAAAACAGTTGCACCCTAGATACGAACATATCCTTTTCCTTGACTGGAATTATAAACATACCTGGATAGCACTCCTCGTGCCTCTTCCATAAGCAGTTCAAATTTTGTAGTATCAGTAGTTATTCTGTCATCACTGCTGGAACCTGTGGCTAGTTTGTAGAGCCTAGCATCTTCAGGCATCAGGTAGTCTGTCCAGTGATGTGGACTTCCCCTGCTCATGAACAAGTCAAGTATCTGCATAATGGTTTCATGAAGGGTCACGGTGTTGAAGATATCCCCCAATTGTTTTCTGCATAGATTAAGCTTGTAAGAAAATTAATAAACCAGAAATAGTGAATCCATTCCTTTTTTTCTTATCATAAAATTTAGGGTAACAGTTCAGAGGTCGTTCTAACATGTCTTTAGCAACAGAAATCCTAGTGCTCTAAGTGTGGATTCCATGGTCTCCATATGTCATCAATAAAATGCCAACAAACACCAAAAGTAGTCAATATTTTCACTTTTCGGAGAATTGATAATTCTTTTCTTCTAAAAATATCAATATTATGTTCATCTATCACATATTCCTTTGTGATTTAAAGGAGAAAGAGATTAGTTAACCCACACTGAATTCTCAAACAAACGAGAAAGAGATTAGTTACCCCTTGAGAACCTCTGTTGCTGCTGCTTGGATATCAGAAATCAGAACTAATATGCCATGATTTGCGAGAAAATCAGAACTTGCCAAAAACTTTTTCTGGTCATCCCTTTCAATGAGATCAACATCCTCCTGCTAAAAGAAAGAAGAATTGAGAGGAAGGACAACATTTATACAATGAACATTAACAAAATTATGGGCATGAACATGGAGGTAGAACATAGTGAAAGGAGGACGAGGCGCTCAGAAAGTATTAAGAAGCCATAACACATCATGTACTTTTTTTTGTGATTATGAGAAAGTCAAGATTTTGCAACATCAAATTTAAAACATCACATTGACATACAAAAAACCTAAAGCAATCACACAATCATGGCCAAGCAAAAAAATAAAATGTTGCAAAGTAAAAAGTTTAGCTAAAGAAATCCTACAACAATATAATTTTAGTTTTGTTTATTTCATGTTGCTAGCTGTTGTTTAAACTTCAGAAGGATTTTTCTTGTCCTCCATAATGTACTCATTTCTTCCTTGCTCAAACTTTTTTTAATAAAACACATGCAATTTATTATGGATAAGCTTCTAATGTCCATAAGACACTTTAAAGAAGCAATGATAAACATTATAGAACAGAGAATGCTACATGATGAATGGATAAGTTGTGGCAAGTCAAACCCGGTAACCCATTCCCAATTGATATCTGTATCAGCAGTTCTGCTACTGAAGGAATGCCCTTACAAGAAGCATAACCTAGGTCCAATTAGTTTTCCAGACATGGGAGTTGAAAATAACAACTGGTTCTCGTTTAAGAAACTAAATGACTGTCTAGTCTGGTGAGTCCCAAAATAAAAAGAATTAGCACTTTGCTGTTTTTTAATACCCATGGGGCTGCAACTTAGTAATTTTCTGTTTCATTTACTATTCCTTTTGCATTATTAGTTGAATCACTCAACTATTTTGTCTCAATCTCAGTGATAGCAAGCTTCAAAGTTCCGTTAATAAGCACTCATGCCATGGAAAGTGTGCAATGGACCAGGGAGGCGACAATGCTAAGTGGAGGTGTGCGTAGAAGCCAGGGACTATATAGCCCCAAAACCATCTGTCAGAGAAATGGCAGCAACCAGAACAGTTGGCTGATTTTCATCATAAATTCAAAAACTCTTGTGTGTTCTATGAAGAACACCACCAAATATTAAAAATGCTAAATAAGTCAATATTACCATACTTAAAATTCAAAACATTTGCATTAATGTTATAGTTGATGTTAAGACTGAGACTTTGACAACCGTATGGTATCTGGTTCACATTGTTTGTTAGATACCAGAATTCTAACAGATGCAAAAGAATATATCCATCTATTTATCTCACTGTATATGCGCGTGTGTGTGTGTGTGTGTGTGTGTGTTGATCAATCCAAGGACTAGGGAAATGCATATCAACCATTGATCTGAAGCAGTCCACAAGTATGCTTGATGCTCCAAAATAAAACAATCGCATGAAGGGTATTATTGACAAAATGAAATGCCTAGGAAAACTGAACCACAGAGGATAAGCAGCTTCATCAGGTCGCTAAACTTTGAAATCAGACACATTGCCACAAGGCTTCTCCAACACCAAACACAGTGTGACATGGTAGTCCTTATTCAGATGCAACATCAATCAAATGACAAAAATGTCAAAAGGAAAATATAGCTGAAAACGTGTTTATATTTGCTGCAATCAAGCCAACGAGCAAAAACCAACCACCTATACCTAATTCTAGGTCAAAATACAAATTAAATTTTAAAATGCAGGAACATGAGCACACACACAGACACCAGGCATGCTGCATAACGGTTATTCTAACTATCCAAGCTGAATACTTTTAAGATTTTTCCAACAAATAAAGTTTAGGATTATGTTTTCGAATTTTAATCATTAGTCAAATATTCAACATATATTGTTGTTTGTTTCCTAAATTCATGTAAATTAGGAATAAGTTACTTAAAGAAGGTACTGCACCATCACTCCACTGTAAAAGTAGGGTAATTGCAAGCTTGCAGCTAATAGTTTACAAATTTCTAATAGATTCACCTGCAACGAATTGTTATGCAAGTAAGTCTCTTACGATACTTTGGAGATCACTTTCTTTCTGCAGTGAAGACTTGTTGAATTGAAAACAAGGTGATTTCAGAATTACAGATAAAAACCTCCATCTTTCTCAACAAGTTCTGTTCCCTTCAAGCCATAGAAAAAGGGTATTCCTCCTATCCATTCTTAATCCTCTTTTTGCCTTCAAGAGCTGCGCATCTGATTCCTTCTTGCATAGATTCTCAACAGCTCTCCTCTATATCTTTTATGTCAAATCTAATTTCTAATAAATTCATACTTTTTTCCCCTTAAGGTTCTGGAGCTAGGATTTAGTATTCTAACCTTTTCCTATCAGATTCCCATCACCTCCCAGGGCAAAACATTCCAATCTTAGATCTTCTTAAGCCTGTCCTGCTCCTGCATCACACAAGTGCAGACACACCACAGATCTTCCTAAACCCCCTAAGCAATGCAGAGAGGTCATAAATATGCAGACAGCTAATAGGCTTCAATAAGCAAGATTTGCAAGCTAAACCAGTTTTTAACATCCCAAGAGATAATTTCTTTTAAGTAATACCTGCTTAGATTGGCTCCTTCTGCTGATCCTACTTCCTATGGTAAACTTCACCAAACAAGGAAAAATAGATTCCCAAATAGCATCAGATTGGATGGAAACAATGTTTCTCAAGCTAACAATACTCTGATGGGCAATTCCTTCAGTTCAATAGGTGCTGATTCATAGTGCCATGCTCATTCCCATTAAACTAATAAATCTTATGGACCAGGTCTTTCATAGTCCTCCAGAGTTTCAATTAATGCCTTTTCTCACTGTAATCCATGATTCAAATTTCCTCATCATCATACTTGTGTTTTACCAGTTACACAGAACGACTTGAAGTCACCAGAAGGGCATTGATATTTCCACACTAGATATCACCACAAGGCAGCTCCAACTACTGTTCCCTGCGACTGTTGAAAGAAAAAAAATTCTAAAATCTCGAACCTCCACCATTTAGCAAACATTTACAGTATGCACCTCAAAAGGATTCTCTTCATAGTCTTCCCTTACAAGTATACCTCTCTGCTTTTAACAAAACCTAGTTATATATTTTGCAAGCATAACATTAGTGACCATGTTCCTGTCTCCATGAGCAAAGACATTAGCTGTTAAATTCACCATATCATAAATAAGCTTCATGCTAAACCTTCCCCCCTTACTGACCTCTGGTGGAGTAATTTTTTTGAAGTGATAGCAGATAGATCAATCTCCAGGAAACAACACCAGAGCTTCAAATAAAGTCATACCACGTTGGTTTTAATTTCCAAATAGGTTAGGGAATTTGATGTGGATAACTGAAACATTATTAGGTCTTCTTCCCCCTAACAATTAACATTTAGAGGTGAGTTGTCCAATTAATCTGGTTGCTAGATTAATGAGAGGACCATTTGTAACTTGGTCAACTGCAAATTACATGTATAGTGAAAACAAGGTAGAAAATTACAACTCCAACATTCCACATTGGTTATTGGTAACTTAACTGGATAATAAGATCTTGGACTCTCTCCTTAACAGACAGTTTCTAAGGGAAAGTCCTCCAAATATTTTGTTAGATAACTTGACAGTCTTGAAACAATTCATAATAAATTGATCATTCTGTGATAAACCAAATTGATCTACATAAATCCAAATACTCAACTGAAGTATGGTAACTATGACTCTACCAGTATTCAGTAACCATGACGGGAACAATTAAATGCAAGTTTACATATTTGCAAGTCTGCCATTGGAACCAGACTATCTTCCTGGAATAATGTTCTACATCATGCAGCAAAAAATATATTAAAGATACTTTCTTACTGCATGAAGCAAAAGTAGCTTAGGCAACTAGCAATTCAAAGAGACCACATCAGATAATGGTACCACTCAGGTGATAAACTAATAGTCTAATCGTAAAATGTCACTGAATGATAGTTCCTAGGGACTCAGAATCAGATATTCCTAAGCACAGGAATTCTAAGAAATGTAATATCAGACTAGTTATAAGAAAGCTTCTATGAGAAATTAAATCATTACAGAGAGGAAAGTTCAGAAAAATTGGCAATGAAACCCATCTAACAGTACGAGAATTAGCTGAGTGTGAGCAAATATTTTAGACAAGGGAATGAAAATGAAATGATTCTTACAAGTAAATGTGAGCTTTCAAGACCACGTGCAGTGTCAATATACAAATGTCTTCCCAGAATATTTAACTGAGTTCTGATATACAAGCTAAGCATTGTCATTGACCACACAGAGACCGCCGTTCTTGTAAAACCTGCAGCAGCCACAAACATGAAATTCTAAATAACCTATAACTTGTACATTACCACTGAAAATTTATTACGCACACGGAGAGATAAAGATATCAAAAGTATAAAGGGAAAAACTTGCAGCTGTATACTTAAGATTTTGAGTCGGTCCCATAGCTCAAGTTTCTCTGAGTGTGTCAAAGTGTTGGGCTGACCCTTCCCTTTCTTTAGCCTCTCTGTAAGTTGTGAAAGGTCCAACTCCTCTGCTATCCGGCTGCTTAAATACTGCATTGCATGAGGCAATGTTGTTGTATCAGCTATTCTTTGAATGTTCTCAAAGTGCACTTGCATCCTATCAATCAGGAAAAGAACCAAATTAGGAAATTCTTATAACAGAGAAAAATCATAATTCATCACACACCCACACCCTCCAAAACAGAAAGAAAGGGCAAAGAAGAAGAGACTAGAATTTCTCATAACTGAGCCTTAATGTGCTCATCATGTTCCCGTTCATCTGCAAGTTGTCTCTCCAAATCAGCAAGGTTACGTTTTTGCGCATTATATAATTTATACAGGTAATACCCACTTCCAAAAACACCTGCCGTAATAAGAATTTTTCTCCTATGTCTCCTCCAAAAATCCCTACATTGCCAAAAGAGAAGCAAATCAACAAACAGCAATTAAAGAACCAGGGACAGCTGTTCATTACAAAAAACCCAGATCAAAGCAAACAGTTGAAGCAAAAAAATAACCATATAATCAGAAGATCGTCAGTGCAAACTTAAAGATGAATATTTTTAGCATAAAACAAAGAAGTATAATGCACCCACAGAGTTACAATGCAATAGAAGAATAAAAATACTATTTCTAGCAAAGATTGAAACAGGAAACAAATAAATTAGTGCGATGAGCCAAAGAAAAAAAAAAAAAAAAAAACCAAAGCATTGCCAAAAAGAGAAGCAATATCAACATAAACAGCAATTAAAGAACCCAGGGGACAGTGCTGTTTTTACATTACAAAAAAAACCCAGATCAAAGCAAACAGTTTGAAGCAAAAAAAAATAACCCATATAGATCAGTAAGATCGGTCAGGTGCAAACTTAAAGGAATGAATATATTTTTAGCATAAAACAAAGATAGTATAATGCCACCCCCACCCAGAGTTTACAATGCAATAGAGAATTAAATTACTATTTCTTAGGCAAAGAATTGAATACAGGATAAAATAGAAATTAGTGCGTATGAGTAAAGTGAAAAAAAAAAAAAAAAAAACCAAAGAGGAGATGCATTAAAAAGGGCTGCTCTAAAGCTAAAAAACCATAGTATAAAATTGGCAAAAAAAAAAAAAAAAAAAACCAAAGGGGAAGCATAAAAAGTGCTGCTCTAAGCTAAAAACCTATATATAAAATTGGCAAGCAATGATAACACAAAATGAAGAAACAAACAATTAAAGCAAAAACAAAAGAATTCAATAGATACCCAGAAGAAAGGAGACTACCAAAGCAGAAAAAACAAATAATAACCTTAGAGAAAGCATATTTTTGAAGCTACTGAAATCCCCAGAACTCCATGTGTAAGACTTTAAACCATGCAAATCCCTTAACGCTATATAGAAGAAGGTCGTTAATGAAGTGAACGGGCCTTCGTCATGGACAGTACAAGGAAAACCTGCCCGCAGGCAATGAAATAGTACAAAGAGAGAGGAGATGCGTTTATGGAATGAGGGTTTAGGGAGTATTGATGAGAAAAGTGAATTACAGCAACTTCGAGGATTTAGATAAAATTGATGGGTACTAACAATATTTGCAGTGAGTAAGTGCCTCTGTAGTTTTCACAGCATCCAATGGCTTTACCCCTACCCTTTACTCTTCAGTGCTGCTGTGTCCAACAAAAAGTCATAAAACAGAAGACGACGACGACGACACCAATGTATTTTGATATTTCTACGATCGTATCACTATTTCAATTTTTCTAGTATTTATTTTTTTAACGAAAAAATGTTATAGTTTTTTTTTTTTTTTTAGATTTTAAATGAATTTTAAAAAAATTGATAAAAATCAATTGAATTATATATTTCACGTGTTTATTTTGAAAAAAAAAAAAGAATTTAATTTCAAAATATCAATTCTATGGAATTCTTTATGACTAAATCCAAAACAAGTTTGATGAAATTGAAATAAATTACACAAAAAATTACGTAGCTATAATTATTAGACTATAACACTCACGTCTGTATATTTATATATTTATTTTACAGAAAATTATAATCATATTTCTATATTTATCAAAAGTAACTATTTTATCCTTGTGTCTTTTAAAATATATTTCAATGCTCTCATGTTTGCGGTCCATTAAATAATATTTCCATTTCGTCTATTTATGCACTTTTAAACATTAAATTGCTATGAAATGACTTCAATGACTCTAATTAAAAGATAAAATTAATTTTTTTTTGAATTAATTTTGTGTCTTACCAGAATGTCGCCGGTGCCGCTACCCACAATAGCCGAAAAACTGGGTTATTTCAAAATCTTTCGTCCTAACCATCAAAATAATTAGAATCTCATGGGAAACTCAATTGTTACATCCATTTTCCTTTTTGATTCACCAATTAAAACTGATATCAAAAAAATTCTCAAATCCTAAAACTTTTAAACGGAAACTTCATGAATCTTCCATAAAACTAAAATTTGTTAAGAAAAAATATCACCTAATAAAACCACATCAAACTATTTATCTTTCTTTCTTCAAAATATTCAAATTTTATAAATTAATTTTTTTAAAAGAAAATAAAATATAATGGGAGCTATTAGAGAGAGAAAAACTTGTTCACATTTTCTCTATAAATTGAAAAATTATAATCCTATTATTATTTCAGTAATAACAATAAAGAAGAAGAAAGATTTGTATTACTATATTAATTACTGATGATATTAATATATCTTCTCTAAATCTTACAACTGAATGCCATCATCTCTTCTTTTTATTTTTTTTTTCTTTTAGAGAGATAAACTAAAGAGAGAGTTTTGCACTTGTTTGGTGAAAGAGAAAGAGAAGAAGACTTTAACACAGTATTTTGATGAAAAAAAAAGTTTCTCTCTCTTTAGACTATTAGGTTTTTCTTTGACTTGTTCTTTGAAAGTGTAAAAAATAGACAGAAGGGATACTGAGTGTAATAAACCTAAAATATAGGGTATAATATATAGTGTATTTTAAAAAAATACAAGGATAGAATGATTAATTTCGACAAAACATTGGAGAACGATTATACTTTTCCCTTTATTTTATGCTAAAGAAAAAATTTCATGTGTCTATGTGTGGCTAAAAGCATTTTTAGGTCTCTGAACTTTCAGAATTTTACCTATTAAGCCCTTTTTTAAACATTTATCTATTAAAAATCTCATACTTTACGCATATTGCCCACATAGTCCTTCTGTAGCCCTTTTGACAGAGTGTGATAACACTTAAAAACTTGAGTGCGTTAAGCCTTAATGCTTCATTGCTTATTGAAACACAGCTGTTTTTAGCCATCTCAATCCTAATTTGTCCTTCTCTCATGCCCTAGCAATATATAAGTGTCCTCAAACCCTAATTAGCTTTACATCTAGCTAAAATTCCATCATTTTTCTCTTTTGTTTCTCTTCCAATCTCTTTGAAATATTGTGGCACTCGGGAAGCAAATCCCAAATGAAGGAAATGTTTATTGTTGTGTCTTTATGGGAGATTGTCTGTTAGCTTTGTTAGCAAAGATCTAAACAACTATGATTGTATATTGCACAAGTGTGCCGACATTGGTGTAAGTTATTAGTCTTTTACTTTTAACTTCACCACTTTTTAATTTGTCATTTGCCATTATGCAAGACACATGATGTGACTTCACAATGTGGCTTGATGATTGCATAAGAGGAACTAGATGATGATAGATGCAGATGAGGAGTTGATAGGGTGGAGAAGAGTGTAATTGGAACTGATGACTATGGGAAGTACAAAGGAAAAAAATTTTTGAGATCAAGCATGCAGTGGAAGAAGGTTTGGAAGCAAATATACATGTGACAAGACACGAGCTTGCAGAGTCAATAGAAGCATTGAGAGATCATTTTGCTGCAATGAAGAGAAATTTGCTGGAGCTAACGAGAATTATTGAGGGGAACTGGGCCAATATTTAGCATGAATATATTGTTTCCAACTTTGGTCTTCAGGGTGGGAAGTCCCTTATTTGGATACTTTGCAAAATTGTATTAGGAGCATAGTAGTTGTGTTTTGGCTTTGCCTCCTTAGTGAGTGTAATTGGAACTGATGACTATGGGAAGTACAAAGGAAAAAAATTTTTGAGATCAAGCATGCAGTGGAAGAAGGTTTGGAAGCAAATATACATGTGACAAGACACGAGCTTGCAGAGTCAATAGAAGCATTGAGAGATCATTTTGCTGCAATGAAGAGAAATTTGCTGGAGCTAACGAGAATTATTGAGGGGAACTGGGCCAATATTTAGCATGAATATATTGTTTCCAACTTTGGTCTTCAGGGTGGGAAGTCCCTTATTTGGATACTTTGCAAAATTGTATTAGGAGCATAGTAGTTGTGTTTTGGCTTTGCCTCCTTAGTATGATAAGGCATTGGTTTTTTTTTTTTTTTTTTGTCTCTTTTTATAATGGTTGTAATTGGGTCTAGCTTACTTTGGAATGAAAATGGTATCCTTTTATTGCATAATTTTGTGTCTTTAATATTTAAATTTATGAAACTTGGTTGAATAAAATTATAGTTGCTAGCATACAAATAAAAAGGCTGAAACATAATAAAATATTTTCTAAGTGATAAGAAGGGTTGGAAGGAATTAACAAACATTTCTTCTTATATAAAAATGCCACAAATAAAAGGGATATCCTGCTTACCAGCATTATAAAAATTATCATCATAGTAGCAATGCTTTGTAATAAATAAAGAAATACAAAACATCATAATAGCATCGCTTTGTAACAAACACAAAAATATCTAACATCCTAGTAGCACAACAGTAGCACCAATTTGCTAACTACATGTTTAACAGTATAAAACTACAACAGGTTCACAAAAAATCCACCCATTGATTTACTGAGTTGTCCTGACTTGAAGTTGCTTTTTTCCCTTCCCGGATGTACCTTGAGAAAGCCTTACACCGCATTGCTACAGTAACTAAGTCGATTTTCCTCTTGCATCCAACTACTTCCACTGCAGCTTTTTGCTTGACTGGAAATCACACTTATAATCCCATAATCAGAGTTCATCAAAAAAGACAAATTAGAACACTAATATATAAAGTTATTGACAACATACTTGCATTATAGCAATATTATATCTCTCATCACTTGACTTGAATTTATGCATTTCAGATGTAGTAGTTGAGATATTATCACTCTTAGTTTGCATAGACTCAGTTACTCTAATTTGTGGTCCTTTCTCAATGGGATTAATGCATTTTGTTATGCAGTTCTCCTCTTTTTATTAGCAACTCTAGCATCATTTTGTTCACTAGACTTAATTAGTACCAATATTAGTTTCATATATCTTAAATGAAAGGCTATCATCAATAGTAGCACAATTTATGGGTCCCGTATATGTATGGCACAATCCAAGAGGGGGGTGAATTGGATTTTCTAAAAATATAATGAACTTGTGAAAATAGGTTATTGATTAGAACTACCTCACAATGTTCTATTCAGAGAAAATAGAAAGACTTTGCGAAGTGCAGCTATCAATTAGAAACTTTGCTAGATGTGCACTATCAGAGAAGAATCTGGCTACGAGAGTCAATGTCTTAATTCAATTATCAGAAATGCTTTATGACCGGGAAAACTATGTAATTTCAGGAATTCCTCATAAAGTTTAGAATAAGATGGTAGAGACCCAAACACGATGTCTGAGAGACAGTTTTATTCCGGAGAATCTTAACTGCTCTTTCACAAAAGTTTGATTCCAATATAAGATTATTAATTCCTAAGTAAGTGGAAATTATACATAGTTTTATCAATAGTGAAGCACTGTTTAGAACTTTTTGGTATATTTACTTATCTCTGACAGAAAGTCCGAGTTCTATTCCCTATGTTTAGGCGCAAAGACACTAAGACTAATCATTTCAGATACTTTAGGCAACTTGACAACTGCTAAGACAACATTAACCAACTTTAGCATTTCGTAAGTGAATATATAAACAAACAGTGTGTAGAGTCTAAAAATTCAATTACTCAAAGCAGAACTTTCCCAAGAATTAAATATAACAAAAGAATGTGCAACACAAGCTTTAACAACCTCTAGTTGGTTCCGAGCACTAACCCACCACATTAACACTCCCCAGAGCCTACATCTTGAGCGAATCCTACAAATCCTATATGATTGCTGGAGGCACCGCCGCGACCCTCTGACTCTCTTGTTTGCAAGGCCTCACGAGACAAAATACTAAGCGCGTTATCAAGAACTCTTTCAATGGCCTTTAACAGAAATCAAATCACTGTGATCAGATCTAGCCCCTTTACTCCCCACTAGATTTTTTCAATAACATCGTATCGTAGTTTAAACCTTCAACCCTTTCTATTTACGTTATGGCAGAGTTACAGAAACTCAAATTCATAATAATCAGCAGATCAAGTGAATCTTTCCTATCTCGCGTGGTGCAGCAAGCAGAGGAGGTCGTTGAATGAACCTCTCTGTTCACCAGATAGCTCTTCTCAACCGTAAGCTTATTACTCCTACGAAAATGGTTATATTAAAGAAGAAACCTGCTCTATGCTAAAATGAGTCGTAACTATCGAGAAAAAGTTACGCGAACACCAAGGAAGAATGAGCTTCTCACCTAAGCTATTACACAAATGTTTATTAAAAAGAAACCTGTCTACTAAAGATTACAGAATCAAAATAGACAGACAGAAATGCAAATATTAGCACAGGAAAAACAGTTTTTCAGATTAGAAAATCGTTTAGAAAACAGAACTGTTTTTCAAAAGAAGTTGTTATAGAAAAATTTCTTTTCTCTTTTAAACATAAAACATATAGTATAAAGATGAATAGAAATAAGGGGGTAGAGAGTAAGTTTTGAGAGATAAAGGATATGATCAATGGATGAATACTCTTAAAACAAAAACTCTTTCTTCCGCGTTTTTCAAGAATGAAAATGTCTTTTTATAGAGAGGTCTGTGACTCGTTTTTAGAAAGTGAAAATCTCTTTTTCAAATCAGAATATTGACTTTCCTTATTTAGAAGATACGGAAATCCTTGTTACCAAAATCTTGAGTCAATATTCTTTCTTTTTGGTAAGAAAATAAGAGACAATCTTTCATTCCTTAAAATAAAGATTTTCGAAAGTAAAGACTTGAATAAATATTTTTCAAAAATATTTTTCTTACTAAAACGAATTAAAATAAGATCTTTCTTCGTTTTAGGTAAAAAGATAAATCAAGATTCTTAGATCTTCAAAAAGGTTTTGTTTCCGAATTGTTTCCGAAAATGAAGTGCATAAGATCTTTATTCAAGTTATTCGTATTACCAAAATTGTTAGAGACAAAGTCTCTTTAATTTAGGTTATTCGAATATTTCGAATCTTAAGAGAATTCGAAAAACGATTTTTAATGTAAAATCAAGGAATGAAAAGATATATTTTGAAGAACTATTTTTGAAAAATAATTTTGATGAGAGAAAATTGATTTTTGTGCTTATAATTGAGTGTTCTCTCTATCCTACAATAATTTCTAAAAGTCTAACCACTAGGGTCTTCAAAATTCTTCATAATCCTTGAATTTGTAGGACTTGCCTTGTTCATTTATTACTTTCCATATGTATATGATTTTCGCATAAAATATGATAGCACAAATAATATAATTTAAATTTATTGTTTGTTTTGTTGTTAATCATGAAAATCTCGGAGATTAATTAATGTTTGACCCTGAAATATTATTAGCACAAATAATATAATTTAAATTTATTTGTTTTGTTTTGTTTTAATCATGAAAATCTCGAGATTAATATTTGACCCTTGAGCCAACACAATTATCATCAAATTAAACAATTATCATTTAATTATATCATCAAACTATTATCTTAGCTAACTATATCATCAAATTAAATAACTATCATTTAATTATATCATCAAACTATTATCTTAGCTACTATATCATCAAATAAAACAATTATCATCAACTATAAAAGATACAAAATTACCTTTGACTAAGATTTTCCCCTTGCACATCTCCTATTGTTATGTTCCTTTCCTCCATAAGATGTACATTGCATAATCATTCCCATCCTACTCAACTGAACTATAGATTTCTTTATTTCCTCAATATCCTTTCATCTTATTTTCTTCCTCTTACCACGTTTCTTTCTTATTTTTATAGGTCCAATAATGTCATTACTGGATTGAGGCCAGAAAATCCTCCCTCTAACTAGTTTTATAGAGCACCAGTATGCTTTAGATATGTTTCCCTATGGTACCATTTAGCAATATATGACTCAGGCTCCTCATTCTTTGAGTAAATTGCACAAATTGCATGAGCGCAAGGAATTCATGTCAAGTCCCAACCTCTACATGTGCAAGTCCACTTCTTTAAGTGAACACAATGTTTGTTTGCTGTGTTGTAAATATTATAAACCTCAAAGCCATTATCCCCATTTAGATTAATGAACCAGTCAAAGGCCTGTGCCTTTCCCTTTCCAATTTCTCTATGGCTATATGTGCAATATTTGATATCCAAGTGGAAGCACTTCTTCTTTGTTGTGAACCATCTTCATCACTTCTAACCTGATTTCTTCAAGCATTGTAATTATGGACTTTGACCTAGCTTTAAGAATCCACCCACTGAATTTCTCACAGAGATTATTGTCACCACTATCACATCCATATTTTCTGAACATGTCATTAGCATGCATTAAATCATTTTTGAGTCTAATTACATATTATTATGATTTAATTATGATTTTGGTGAATTACAGTGCTATAAGGGCATATTAGTTATTTGCCATGTGTTTTGATAACACAGTGCAATTTATAATAAACAATCAAAATTTATATTATGCACGTATGTAGTGTCAAATTCTAGCCATTGGATTGAAAAAGACTAAATTAGATCGACAATATTTTATAATAAAGACAAAATTGTTGTCTACACCTATGTATTATTTACCCAATGGTTTAAGACCAAGGATTTATACTTTAACTACCATGCAAAAATCAAAAGATATTATTTTAACAAGATTCCTTATCCACTAGTTAAAACACTAAATCCTATGGTTAATAACCTTGTGTGCACCTATTATCCTATGGTCTTAAACTAATGCATTCAATTAACCAAAAGACAATAAAACCACTCATTTTATTGCACACTCCCAAAATCAACGCATCACTCTTCTCCTCCTCCCATTTCTCTCTTTTCTTTCTTTTTCTTCTTCTTTCTTCTCTTCATTACCATAACTGAACCATCTTCTTCTCCCTAATCAAACACTTATGTTTCTTCACCAAAATAAGATATTATGGAGCACTAAAGGCATATTCCACGGTTTTGAAGTTTATTTTGCAAGATCAAACATTTAAGAGTAAGATTTTTACACATTTTTGTTTCTGTCTTTTTCTCTCTTCAAACCCTTATATATTTTCATTCTCCATGGCTAGTCTTGTATAAAACATATCATTTGCATCTTTTTAGTGTGTGTGTGTATACAAATATATTTCTTTTTTTTTCATTTTCGTTTTTACTTTAAAGCTCCTCATTTTTCCTTGATTTAGAGGGAGAGACCTCCAAGTCCAAAGGAAAGGAGAAGATTGGAGCATAAAAAGATTGAGGTTTGTGATTATTTCCCTTATTTTAGATATTCTAGGAATTTATGTTTGATTTCTTTGTTTACATGCTTCAAGACTTAATTTTTGAGTTATAAATAAGTTGATCTACGCTTTAAATGTTCAATATTTGTAAATATGTGCATTGTGGAAATTTTTAGTGCATGGGTGTTGATTTGGCCGAACCTAATAATGAATTTTCTTAAAAATTTATGTCATTTTTTTGTGATTTTATGCTTAAATCTACATATATGAATGTTGTAGATGCTAAATACAGATTTTTGTGAAATTTAAAAATTGTTCATGTATTTTTTCTAAGGTTAGCTAAATTTTATGGTATTATTTTTATGATGTTTAAATATTATTTTGTATATGTGATATGTAATGTTATAGTGTGATGTAAAGATAATAAAAGGATAATTTTAATAAATTATTGGACTTGATATATAAAAATTAAATGGAGACAGAATTTATTTTGGGTACCAAATAACATTTTCATGACTCATGGACTTATTTGGACATATTCCAAGGACTAAGGAGAAATTTCCCTATGCTTAAGGAGGATTTGGACAAAAAGAGAACTTTAAGGACCATTATGACATTTTGTAAGGACCCAAATGTAATTTGCATTATTGTGGACTATTTGGGACTTGATTAAGGACCATCATTATAAATTGGACCCTTAAAAGAGATTAATTATAGACTATAGATAATTTAATATGCCATTAGTCTATTTATTCCAAGTGGGACCCATTTGTAATTATCAAGGACTCCAAGGACCAAATTATAATTTAGCCTTAATTAAGTTGATGATTAATTAGGATTAGTAATAATTTAGTAGTGGTAATAAATTAATTGATTAGTAGCAATTTAATTAAGTGGATAGGGAGTTAATTGGTGATATCTAGCTTAATTAGGTACTTAATTGGTAAATAATAGGAATAATAAAAATAATAGGATTTTATGACTATTACATCAATTAGGTAGCTAATTAGTATAATTTAGGAAGCTAAAGAAATACTGAGTTTAAAAATCCTCTTAGATTAATTAATTAATTAATTGATCCACTGAAGTCCAAGTTAGGAGAATATTAGAAAATAAGTGAAATATGGATTAATTAGGTGGTGATATACCATGTTTAATATCAGTGCCTTGGGAATCATGCCATTGTCTTGGAATATGTGCCTATTAGTGAATTATGAGTAATTATGTGAAAATATGCTATGATTATAATTTTAGTTGGATGATATAAATTTTTAGTGCCATGATAGAATATTTTATTCTTTGTGAATATAATAAATTATAAAAATACAAGTATGATTATATGTTTAATATATGATTTATGGATATGAAATTATGATGAAATATTTAGTATGGAAAAATATGATTTTATGAAGAAAGAGGATTTATGAAAGAGAATATCTTTCAGACTGTAATAAAACATTCTAGTGTAATTATGAGACTAGATGTTTTATTTGTGAACATGACGCGGAACCCTATGGAAATTAATTCCAAGAACTCTATGACAAGATAGCTTCAAAGATCAAACTAAACTCCCCTTCTATGGCACCCAAAGCTTAAGGAAGCAAGAACACCAATGATAGAGTAATTAAGAACAAGATAAACGCCACAAGTAAATTGATAAGTTTACCTAGATTCTTGATGCAATTAGATAGAGTAATTAAGAACAAGATAAACGCCACAAGTAAATTGATAAGTTTACCTAGATTCTTGATGCAATTAGAGAAAAGGAATCTCACAATCACTCTAATCAAAGAACACGCCAAAAACATGAACAGCTCTGAAAATTTCAATATTTAATCAATATGTGTTTAATAACATAACAAGGCTTTTTATACTAAGTCTAAAACCTGAACCCTAAAGGATATGGACTAATTAATCTAAACAAATCAAGGATAAAAGATAAGGCTGGCTCAATTATTGGTGGCCCAACCTATTACAAACATTACAATCCAACTAATAACAAAAAAAGGCCAACTTAATATGCCAAACTCAGGCTCAAGCACGGCCAGGGCGTGCTACGCAGCACGGGCGTGCTACCCTCTGCTGATTCAGTCTTCTTCTAACGCCAGACTCAGGCCCTAGCACGGGCAAGCGTGCTCGCCAGACTCAAGCCCTAGCACCGGCAAGGCGTGCTACTCAACACAGCCGTGCTTCCATCTTCAACACACGCCTTGAGCAAAGTAAGAAACTTAGGTGTTCCTTCAAGCTTCACATAGCACTTGTTGAAAGCAAGGTCATGAAGCTCTTGTGTCACTTGTTCTTGAACATATAAGGACATGACTGCCCCATATCTCTTTGCACGACTCCTTGTTGTAATTGGCCCCACAGGAATACCAACTGGTTTTCCAAGTTGTGGCTCCTTGTTTCACTTCGAGCTCCATGGAATACGACTCCTTGTAATTGGCCCACTAGGAAGTACCAATGGTTTTCCAAGTTGTGCTCCTTGTTTCCTTGAGCTCCATGGATGAGTGATGGCTGATCCGTATAAGAACACTGATATGAATGAATTATAAAATGAATTACTTATAATAAATATTTTATCGGTCTTGGTCTACTTGGCTGAGTCAATAGTTGTATAGTGGTATGACATGTCATAGGAATACAATATTGTCTATATGTAACATGCAGTGTCTTATAGGGGCTAACGAATCCCATTTTATAGGAGCTAACAAACTCCAATTTTTATAGGAGCTAACGAACTCCATTTACTGGATATAGACGTTTGATTTCGACCAATGGCCGTATGATGTTACCTAAGCTTTCGAGCCGTATGTTTATTATGGAATTCTCTGTCTGCTATTTGATTCTTCTAAATATGCTAAAGGCCTAATAAAAAAAAATTTCATAAATTAATTAAATAAATAATAATGTTGTTTTTATGAACATATGCTGATTTATGTGATATCATGATTATGTATGTCTAATTGAGTAATACATGATTATTGGATTTAATTAAGCATGCTGACTATGAATATTTATATTATGCGTCTGAAATATACTATATCATGATTATGATAAAATATTGTGTATGATAATATGTGATATTTTGACTATTTATGTGTATTTCCCTACTATAATTGGGAAATAAACACCACTAAGTTTTATGCTTAGTTCACGCGTAGGTTGCTGAATCGGGGTAGGTGATCCACAGTAGAATCAAACTATTCAGAGGCCTCTTATTTCACTGCAGTTAGTTTTCAATGGTGTCTCTTTTATTTTTTTAGTCTTTAGAAAAAGCTAGCGGCATGTAAATATAATTAAGGCACTAGAATATTTTTATTTAAGTCAAAGTATTATGAACTAAATATTTAGAATAATAGATTTATTTTCAGAATCAAAATATTTTATGATATGTAATAAATATCTTAAATGCTTTCAATTAAAAAGAATTGACTTATTTTCTGTCTTGAGTTTTTATGAGATGTGTTGGATGATGGGTTGAGAATGTGGAGTTTGTTTTGGAAAAATAAATTTGAAAATATAGTTGTGGTGTGGATGGATTATATAAGTGTTTTAAATATTTTTCTGTATTTTACGATACTAAATATATAGGGAAAACTCTTGCAGCTTTTTTGTAGGAATTCTCCGAAAATTTTTCTAAGTCATTTTTGTAAAACTAAATGAAAACGTTTTTAAATTGTCAAAGTGTTAAGTATGCTGATTTAATACTTCGGTGTTAAACCTAATGTGGCTCTTAAGGTTCCTGTTTTACGAAACCGGATTTTGGTTGTCACAACTACATCATATTTGAAGTGAGTTTGATAGGATTCCTTTGTCCATGTGTGGAGTGGGTAGTGCAATGTATCATCCAAAATCCCATATCTCTGTTTGGCCAGTTCATCCAAATTATGCTTGAGCTGTGAAATGAATGTAGACTCGGCACAAGCCCAAAAGGCCAATTTCCTCTCTTGACCTCTCTATTTCTTTACCAATTTGTATAGACATGCCTAGCACACATCCTATGCTCAACTTTAGGCAATTTCCGTCAAAGCACTATCAAGTCCTTGCAAACACACATACACTTGAGATTGTAAATATGTAATTTTAAATTATTAAAACAAAGTTTAGAAACATAATTTAAATAATTGAAACACACACCTTTTGCATGTCTGAAAGGATACAAAATCCATCTCCATCTTCCAATGGTGGATCATGCTTTAATCACTTTAAGAACCAATTCCAATTGAACTTATTCTCCATCTCTGCAACAGCCCAAGCTAATGAAAAAATTTGATTATTTCCATCCCTACCCATAACACTAAGTAATTGACCCCTGCAAATTTCTTTCAAAAAGCTCCCATCTAGTTCAATCATAGCGTACAGCCATCTAACCAACCCCTTTTAAGTGAATCAAAGCAAATATAGAACCCCACAAACTTATTCCTTCTTGTTCCTTCATCAATATTTGCTTTCACTAGACATGTAAAACCTGGATTACTTAATAGTATCTGAACTACATAATTATATAACGTAGCATACTAAACTTGATAATGGCCCTATAATCTCTCTCATTATCTTGTTTTTGTTCTTTTGCAAACACTCATACCCACATTAACTCTTAACTTAGACTTGCATATATTTTTTGTCCCTCTCAAAATAATATTTGGTTGTTGGGTAACCCTATTCTTAAGTTGCTTGGCCAAGAAATTTGAAGTGGCAAACCTATTTCTTTGCGCCCTACAACATTTGTGCTGTGAATAATAGGTCTTAAGTATCAATTGTCATCATAACTCTTATTGGAAGTAAAAAAGGTCCAAGGACACTTGTCTCCACACTTAACCCTAACCCTTTTAGGTTCATTATTAATATAATGAACCCCCATCCCCTTTACAACAACATATTTAGCAATGACATATTTAACTTGTGAAACACTAGAAAAAGTCATACTAGCACACAAATTAAGTATAGAAAATGAAGGATCAAATTAGGGTACTACTTTTTCCCTTAAGTATCATCCGCAACCTCTTCATACGAATCACTAAAGTAACCCCATAATCAAAGTTATCATAATATTTAAACTCATTCTCATCTTTCCTACCTCCATGAAGTGCACCTATACTTCCATATATCTCATCATCCTCATCACATTCATCATCCTCCCCATTTCACTCATCATTATTCTTACCTATATCCTAATTTTTTGTATTAAGTCTCTTTTTCTTTTTTGCTTCCCTCACCTTTTGTCTGACAACTTTAACCTCTTCATCCTCATCATCAATCACACATTTTCCTCTTAAAGAGGAACTTCATAAATATCATTGCCATTTGAATCCTCATCATCACCCTCATCTTCACATCCTTCATCAAGAGGTCGGACATCATTAGGCCTATGTCTATCCACTATCTCTATAGATGGTTGACTCTAGAACGCACTCAAAGCATTTCCAGCATCACCTAACACAGCAATGTGATTAATAAACAACTCAAGAGTATCTTCATCATAAGCAGATAGCCTAATATAGGACAATACACCATTATTTATAATCAAGCTATAATTTGAATTTCTTGAACACTTATGATAGAGGCCATGAATCTTAGAATAACATAAATCTTTTATATATGATATTATATTGGGATAGGACAAAAGGTCAGGATCAAAAGTCGGGTTAGTAACAGTAACTATCACTCCTACATATACCCATTTGTTAGGGTCAACAACGAACTGACCCCTATGGCTTTATGCATAATTTGACCTAAGAGTTGCCATTCTGCATATATAGAGAAAACCATAACAATGCATAATTGTTAACATCAATTCAGCGTAAAAATCATGCAAGACCTTAAAACCACAACAATACGTGAAACATGCAAAACATGACCTTCTAAGATTCCTTACAGTACAATAATATGCATTATGGAGTTATAGTTTCAAAAACACATTTTAAACTATCAAATAATCAACAAAAGCAAAAAGACAACTTGAAACAACCTAAAATAATTGAACGAGGAAGAATCTCACCTCTTTTTTATGGTCTACCACACCAATGATGGCTCTTAGATGTAGAATTCTCAGGCAATATAGTGGTCCCTCCACTTTGATCGGTCCCCATAATGCCAACAAGAATCAATTTTTTCTTTTAAGAGTAAAGAATTCGAGAGAGAGACAAACAATAGTGGTTAGGGCCAAAGGAGTCATTTTAGGATTACTTTAGGGTTCTTTTCGTTTTAGCTTAATCATTTAGGCTTGGGATGAGCTCAAAAGGGTTGGGTTTTCAATAAGTAATGGAGCATTAATGGTAAACGCGCTCAATTTCTTAAGTGTTATCACACTCTGTCAAAAAGCCTACAGAAGGGCTTCGTGAGCAACACGCGCAAAGTCTGAGATTTCAATAAGTAAATATTTGAAAAAATGGCTCAATAGAAAAATTCTAAAAGTTTAAGGACCTAAAAATACTTTTAGCTGTCTATGTGTATCTCTCTCCATTTAATATTATTTATTTCTTCTTAACTAGATAAACTTTAATACTTGATCTTTATTAAGTGAACTTTCTACATCCTTTTGCAATAATTTAAGTTATTATTAAGGTGAATTTTTTTCCTTTGTTTTTCAATAATTTTTAGTTCTTTTGATACAACAACAAATTAAGTTAGCTTGCTCTATTAAATTTATTTCTCTTTATTTCTCTAGGTTCTTTAGTTAGTTATTATTAATTGAACTTTTTATCTTCTATTTTTCAATAATTTTAGTTATTATTATGATTTAATTACGACAAAAGTTTTAAGTTACCTCCCTAATATTCAATAAAAATATTTGCATAAGTTTTAATAAGCTTTTGTATTTAGATATTTTAAGATTACTAGTCTTCTCAAGCGTATGTTGCATGTTATTTATACTCGTTAATCTTTACACATTGCAAGTAAATGTAATTTAATAACAAGCGAGGATTGAAGTGTTAGCGTTGGGCGCTGCTATTTAAGATATTTGATGTATTCTCTATGATTTATCTCTACGGATTCGATTTAGTTAGGGTTATTATAATGGAACGTTTTTTATCTTCTATTTCCAAATAAGGTTTTTAGGGTTATTATTGAGATTAATATTACGGGGCGAACAGAAAGTTGTGTAAGTTACCTGCTCCCTTAGATAAGTGGTAATTAAAGAATAAGGTTTGCAGGTAAGTTGGTTAATTTAAAGCATTTGTATTTGAGAGATTATTGGTGTATAAGATATGTTACTAGAGGTCGTTTGTTCTCGCGAGTGGCGTGATGTTTTGTGCAGTGTGGTCTATTGATACTGCGTGGTCTAAGTCTTGCGTGACCACATTTGCAAGTAAAATGTAAATTTAAATTGTCATAGTTATTAAGTTATGTTTTGATTGATAATTAAGATAATATTGGACCATTTAAGTTAGTTACTAAGAAGGATGGAAAAGAGTACTAGTTGAGAATAGGAAATCACGTAGTAAAGAAATAAGATGCAATTTTAGATGAAATGATAAAACAAAAAATTCAATAATTAAAATGACGCCTTGTAGCTCTTTCGTTTGGTTAATGTATGAAATCTGCGAGGGTACCAAGTAATAAAGAATGAGCGTAGAGTATCATTCCAAAAGGATTGTATAACCAAGGGGTTGTTCTCTCTCTTGTTATATTGATGTGAGGCTATCATACCGCTATAGAGCGGGGGGGGGGCGTGAAATGAGTTTTCTTATAAAGAACTTGAAATAAAAATTTTATGTGTGACTATCTCTAAGACCAAGAATTAGAATCTAAGTGCAGCCGGAAAACACCACGACAGAAGCTTTGTGAGAGTAGATAATATGGATAGAATCCTCCTCACAAAATGTTTGCTAAATTTCAAAGATATAAAAGGTCTGTGCAAAGTGCAGCTATTGATGTAGAAACAGCTTCACACTGACTTGTACAATGTATCGAGAGGCGTAGGTGAGCTTTCTTTATAAGGAATGTTATTGGCGAACTTAGAAACTTCCTCATCAAAGTTTGCAAAACCAGAAATATAACGACACTATGTAAAAGATAGTTAATTAGAACTTCTTTCACAGAAGTCTTAATCAAATGTAAAGTAACTTTATGATGGAAGTTACAGGATATAGAAACATCCTCATAAAGTTTTAGAAAAACAAAATAGAAAACCCAAAACAGTGAATATTATCAGACTGGATGAAAAACAACAGTTAGAACATTGTATACTCACTAATATTGAGAATCAAGGACCAGAGTTCTAAAAACGTTTATAATAGATGAACGACGTATTGTCGTTTTAGAACATCTGAATATTAAACAATTTCACGGCGTTCCTAATAAGAATTAAAACAAAGAGTGT